TGGCAAAAACAGCAGCTGTTGCCCATAAGGCAAAATAGAAAATATTCCCCTGGATATATTTATAGAGAAATGGATATTACAGAGCGAACATGAGAAAAGCGGCCTCAGCCGATCAATGTCGTTGAAACCTCTCTGATGCTGAGGGGGTGATGGATGCTCTGTGCTCACACCTGTTACTCAACCCCCAGGCTCGAAATGGGAACGTGCACATCTAGAGAGGCCCGAGAAGCAGTGATGTCTGGGAACCTCTGTGACATGGTGTTTGCATCCTGACGCAGGTACAAGTCAGCCCCAAGTCAAGCCGACAAGTTCAGACCCTGGAGTAGATACAACAATGCATGTCACGTGAATTATGCCCTTGGAAAACCTAAAATTTAGTTGAGCTAGCAAGACACAAAGTTACCAAAAAGTTGACAATAAAATTCATTTAAAAATCTGAGTCATATGACACTAAAAGCACAGGTGACAAAAGAGAAAATAAACTGTACTTCATCAAAACTTAAAACTGTGGTGCTTCAATGGACACCATGAAGAAAGTGAAAAGCAACCCACAGAATGGGAGAAAATATTTGTAAATCATTTATCAGATGAGGACTTGTGTCTAGAATGTATAAAGAGCTCATCGAACTCAAAACTAAAAAGACAACTTAGTATTTAAAACATGGTCGAAGGATCTGAACAGACATATCTCCAAAGAAGATATACAAATGGCCAATAAGCACAGGAAAAGATGCTGAATATCATTAGTCACCATGGAAATGTAAGTGAAAACCATAATGAGATGCCATTCTTACACTGTACATGCATGAGAATGACTGGAATAAAAAAGTCAGCTAAGAACAAGTGTGGGCAAGGATAAGGAGGAATTATAGCTTTCACACACTGCTGGTAGAAATATAAAATGGCATAAGTACTTGGGTAAACAGTCTGGCACTTACTTAAAAGGTTAAATATAGAGTTACCATCAATGGCCCAGAAATTCCATTCTTAGATATATACTCAAAAGAAATGAAAATATATGTCCACATGTAAGCTTGTACATGAGCATTCACAACAGCATTATTCAAAATAGCCAAAAGTGGGACAAAAAGTCCATCAATTAATGAAAGGGTGAATCAATAAATGAAATGTGGTATGTCTACAGAATGGAATATTATTCAGCTATAAAAAGGAATGAAATTCTGATACATGCTACAATAGATGAACCTTGAAAATTCAAAGTAAAAGAAGCCAGCTACAAAAGACCACATACTATATGAAATGTCCAGAATAGGCAAATCTACAGAGATAAAAAGTAAATTAAGTGGTTGCCACGGCCTGGGGAGGAGGGGAAAATAGGGAGAGACTGCTAATGGGTATGAAGTATCTTCTTGGGGTGATAAAAATGTACTGGAATTAGATAGTGGAGATGGTTACACAACTCTGTAAATGTATAATACTAAAAACCATTAAATGATATGCTTTAAATGGGTGAATTGCATGATACATGAATTCTATATCAATTAAACTGTTTTTTTTTTAAATCCACAAAGTTTATATGGAGGGGCAAGAGATTCAGAATAGTCAACTCAATATTAAAAAAGAAAACAAAGTGCTCAGAAAAATGTCATTACTTGAGTTCAAGACTTACTATAAAGTTACACTAATCAAGACAGTGTGGTATTGATGAAAGAGCAAATAGGTCAATAGAACAGAATAGGGAACTCAGAAATAAACCCACATAAATACAGTCAACTGATCTCTGACAAAGGGGAAAAAGGCAATATGATGCAGCAAAGATTGTCTTTTCAATAAATGGTGTTAGAACAACTGTACATTCACATGCAAAATATTAATCTAGACACATACCTCACATCCTTCACAAAAAGTAACTCAAACAGATCATAGACCTAAATGTAAATTGAAAAACTATAAACCTCCTAGAAGATAAAATAGAAGAAAACCTAAATGGCCTTAGGTATGATGATGACTTTTTAGAAACAACACCAAAGGCATGATCCATGGAAGAAAAAATTGACAAACTGGACTTCCTTAAAATGAAGAACTTCAGCTCTGCAAAGACAATGTCAAAAGAATGGAAGAAAAGCCATAGACTGGGAGAAATACTTGCAACAAAACATACATGATAAAGACCCGGTATTTGAAATATACAAAGAACTCTTAAAACTCAACAAGAAATAAACAATTTGATTAAAAATGGACAAAAGACCTGAACCAAAGAAGATATACAGACCTCACCAAAGAAGATATACAGATGGCGTATAAGCATATGAAACGATGTTCCCCATCATATGTCATTAGAGCATTGTAAATTAAAACAGCAATGAGCTACCACTACACACCTATTAGAATGGCTAAAATCCAAAACACTGACAACACCAAGTGCTGGAGAGAATGTGGAATGACAAGAACTCTCATTCATTGCAGGTGGGAATGCAAAATGGCACAGCTTTGGAAGAGAGTTTCACAGTTCCTCACAAAATTAAACATATTCTTACCATATTATCCAGCTACTTTGTACTTATTCAGGTGAGCTAAAAACTTATATCTACACAAAAATTTGTACATGAATGTTTATAGTAGCATTATTAATAACTGCCCAAACTTAGAAGAACCATGTCCTTTAGTAGGTGAATGGATACGTAAACTGTGGTACATATAGACAATATTAAAAAGTAATGGCTATTAAACAATCAAGAGACATGGAGGAAATTTAAATACATATTACTAAGTGAAAGAAACTTGTCTGAAAAAGGTTGCATACTGTATGATCCCAACCACACGGTATTCTGGAAAAGACAAACCTAGGAGACAGTAAAATGATTAGTGATTGCCAGGGGTTAGTGGGGAGGGAAGGAGGAACAGGCAGAGCACAGAGGATCTTTTTAGGCTAGTGACACTACTCTGTATGGTACTATAACGGTGGACACATGTCATTATATATTTGTCAACACCCGTAGAATGCACAACAGCAGCTGTGAACCCTAATGTCAACTACGGACTTGGGGTGGTAATGACGTGTCAGTATAGCATCATCAGTCAGAACAAATGGACCAGCAGGATGCTGATGGGGGAGGCCGTGCATGGGTAAATTCACAGCCCATGTGATGGGCAGGGTAAACTCTCTTGGGTAAATACCAACTAGCTGGGGGTATAAGGAACTCTCTGTACTTTCCACTCTATTTTGCTGTTAACCTAAAATTGCTATAAAAATAAAGTCTATTAATTTAAAAAATCCACGCCAAGAGAAGAGACGGAACAAGTTAGTTTATGATTCACTGCTGAGTGGCTTGTACACCAAGAATGGCAGGTCACAGCAGAGAGAGTGCCCATCCCAAACAAAGGGGGATTGCGCTGGGTCTTGAAGAAGGGGTAGAATTTGGAAAGGAAAGTTAATCCAGGTGTGGGCAGGAGAGTATAGGTCAAGTTCAAGAGATGCTGAAACCCTCCTCTTTGAGCCCTCAGGCTGGGCCACCACCATGTGTGGGGGCTACAGAGTCCCTCAAACCCAACTCCAGCTGTGTGCAAGGTCTGGCTCAGACACAAAGGGGTGGCCTTTCCTCTAGCAGAAAGCCAACGAGAGACCCTGTTCTGCAATTCTTCTGGCTCCCACGCTTGCCCAGCTCCCTGTTCCAGGGGCCCAGCCGGTGCACAGACCTTTTGGAAGGAGCGAAGTTGGTGTGCTGGAGGAGCAGAATGCAGGCCAGGGTGGCTTTCGGCCCTGGACGGGATCCTAAAGCCCGCTGTTGCTTAACCTTCTCAATCACTGGGCTTTGTTTCTGATTACAAAGGTACCTTTACTTTGGTTTTTCTATCCCCAAACTACCCAGTGTCAGGAAATTAACTGGACCAGGACAGCCTGCTGCAAAAGAACATTTAGTGATGGCCCTAGTTGTGAGTTGATGTTTTCACAGTTACAACCAGTGTGCCCTGAACTCTTGCCCTGGGTCTTACCATCTTCGATGGCTTCCCCTATGTGCGCTGGACACAAAATGACTCCTACTGTATGCCTCTTGATAACACGAATATGTTATCAGAACACGTCACATTCGTTGGCATCTCGTCACCGTTGACGTAAATGAAGCTAACACCTTCACCTATGTCATATCCGAGAAGCGAGCAGCTACATTTCAGACAACGGTAAGGGGAACAGGGCACAAAACACATGTGCTTTGTCCGAATTGATGAACCTCTTCTCTGGGCGCTGGTCCTGCCTGTTCTGACCTAAAAGCAGCGACTCCACTGGGCCAAAGAACATGCTGGAGAGTCGGGGCAGGGACGGGAACTGGCACTAAAGTAAGAAGAGAGCTGGTGAACGGGTGACGTCAGAGCATAGAAGCGCCTCTCCCGGCAGAGCTCCCACGTGTGGGCGGCTCCACGGGGCTGTCCAAATGCGGGGCTGGCACAAAAAATGCCCCCCAGATGCACAGCTGTGACGACGAGTGGCAAGCGAAGGACGAGGTGCGTCAAAAGGTGCTTGGACAGGCAGCGGCCCGTCCCTCGGTGAGAGTGTGCACTCACGCGGGCGCCGCTCGGGGGCCACTGTGTGCTCCTGGGTACCACGGCACAGTCTGCTCGGAAATGGTGGCTTCTTTTCCTCCAGGTCAATTTGGTGAAATATACATCACATAGAAATTTACCATTGTAATCAGTTGTAAGTGTACAGTTCAGTGACATTAAGTACATTCACGTGACCACGCTCCATCTCTACCAAGTCCAGGCACCGTGCTGGGGGAGGGCATATAACTGGGAATCAGCATCACCAAGGACCTGACTACAGACCTTACGTTTCCACGTAAATGCCGGCCTGAGATCCCAGGCACCCAGAATGCCAACTACTGGCTTCTACGCACAGTCCAGTCTTCACGTGGACAGAGGGGGTCTCCGCCTAACTGTGTGAGAAAATAAATAAGTAAAACCTAGCTCGACATAATGATAGCTAAAACCCATTAAGTGCCAAAGTGCTTCACTAAGCATTTTCCATGTGTTTACTCATTTAGCCATTGAAAGAGCCCAATGAAGAAACAGCGTTCACTGAAGAAGACAGAGGCACAGAAAGGTCAGTCACTGCCCTTGACCCCTGTATACTGTCCCTAGTCTTCCCTCTATACTGTCCCTAGTGTCCCTCCTGATCTGCCCCTAGCATCCCCCATACTCCTTCCAACCCCCACACTCTTGCCTCTAACAAGCATCCTGCGAACCTGGACCCTGCTCAAGCCCCATGAGAAACAGCACAGCTAAGGTCTGCTCTCTGCTCTCCGCCAGCGCCATCCTGGCTGTCCTGGAGCTCAGCTAACACTCATGCCACAGGAGATGCTTGTGCACTGAGGGGCTGTGGCCAAGGAGAAGAGAGCATGGGAGGAACAACAGCCTTGCGCAGCAAGCAGAAGAGTATTTATGTAGTGGTCCTCCACATTTAGGAAGCATTTCATGCCCAGTCTTTTAAGGCAGGTAGTAGTGGTCTCATCCCTATTCATCCATTGAGAAAAGTAAGGCTCATGGAAGCTGGGGCCGTGCCTGCAGCCTCCCAACACTGGTTCTAGGCACCTGCCCCAGGGCAATTCCCATCACACCATGTTTCGGGAAGGAAGGTGAGAACCTTCCCTCATAGACACAGGGCATGAGGGACTAGTCCTGTTGTAATGTGTGTATCTGTGAATGATACGGGACCATTATCGCAATTTTCAAGCAGTTCCCTTCTCCAGGGCATGAAGAAGCATCTCCTTCAGCTTTCTCATCACTGCAGCAGGCCAGCAGCTCTGGAAACCTTGCCTCCTGTACTCTGAACCCAAAGGAACTCCAAGGAAGCAGCAAGAAATCTGCAAGGGAGGGGAGGAGGCAGAGGGGGAGCTAGAACATTCAGGTGCAGGAGTCCCTACCCCTGGGGCTGGGTAGCCCCGAGATGCAATCTGAGATAACAACCGTAGGCCTAGGCTCAGAGCCAGTGACATTAATAAAAAAAAAAAAAAGAAAAGAAAAGAAAGAAAGAAAGAAACACTGATAAATCCTGAAAACTAAATTAACAGCAGGATCGCAGCCCAGTAACTGCATGTAATTACACAGCGTGCCTTGCCTCGCACAAAGAGCTCCCCAGCTTCCCGGGGACGGTTTTACACAGGGGCTTGCAGAGGCAGTGAGGGGACGAGCCAGGTGTGGGGCCAGCTTAACCTGGAGCCCCAGGAGCTTGGGGGACCTGGATCCTGACCTGTGGGGGGACAAGTTTTGTCCCAGTAAAGTCCCCCAAATAAAGGCAGAGTTGTCAGAATAGAGGTGAGGCTCTTCCCACCAGCACCCCTTATTCCAACCATCACAGGAATATTCTAGAAACCTGCGGGCTGAGGCCCCCAGCTCCCCAGCTCTCCCTCCCTCCAGCCAGCAGCTAACAGATTGCTCCTGTTTAACAGAGACAGCTGATTAACTGGCCTTCTCAGGAAGTGGGGGTGCAGAGAGGGAAACCTCACAGGATCTAGAATATTTCTCCTACTTGAGCACCTCGCAATGGGCCTTCTCTTTGAAGACGTGGTCACATGTGTGCACACACGTGGGTGTCATGTGTGGGAGGTTGGGGGATGGTGTCCCACCCTACTTCTTCAATGGGTTGGCCATACAAAGAGGTGGCCAAGAGTTCCACGGCTTAGTCCCAGTTCTGCTACCATGACTTTGAGCAAGTCTCTTATCCTCCTTTAAGATCAAGTTCTGCATCTGTAGCTTCTCCCCTCCAGCCCACTCAAACTGGTGGGTCTCAGAAAGAGGACCTATTTTAGAGGCTGCTGTTTTCTTACCTAATAGCCATTCTCTCCCTGTAACTTAGAAACCTGGGTGATTAACCTACCTGGAAAAGTACATTTCTCAGACAAACTTGAAGATAGAAATGGCTAATAGGATGGATGTGTGCAGTAGTTTTTGAGTGAGATCTTTACAAAGTCCTTGCGATAGCTTGAGCTCCAGCAGCCATTTTGTGCCACAAAGATGCTAAGCTAAGGATGATGGTGGAACAGAGTGATAGAAGATCCAGATAACTGTGGATATTTCATATTGGCCCTGAACTGTGTACCTATAGGCTTCCTTTACATGAGAAAATAAATAAACTTTGAAATTACTTAAGTCACTGCTGTCTATAGTCTCTGTTACTAACAACTAAACACAATTTCTAAGTGATTCAGGGTCTGTATGCATTTATATTTATAACCTACTCATCAGCTACTCAACAGGTTCAGCACCTTCCACCATCAACTACACAAAATTCCATGAAGGTCATAAATCTAGAACCAATGAAGAAACCTTAATACACAAAATTTCATTAATAAAACTAAAAAAGTCCGGGCACAGTGGCTCACATCTATAATCCTAGCACTCTGGGAAGCTGAGATGGGAGGATCGCCTTGAGCTCAGGAATTTGAGACCAGCCTGAGTGAGAGTGAGACCCCATCTCTACTAAAAATAGAAAAAATTTACCCAGGCATGGTGGCTGGTGCTTGTAGTCCTAGCTACTCGGGAGGCTGAGGCAGGAGGACTACCTGAGCTTAGGAGTTTGAGGTTGCTCTGAGCTAGGTTGACACCATGGCATTCTAGCCCAGCCAACGAATGAGACTCTGTATCAAAAATAATAAAATAAAATAAAACTAAAGAGAACTGAAAGAATGGGAGAAAAGAGCTGTCATCAGCCCAAGGAGCAGTGGGAAGTCTGTGGGATAGGAGGCAGAGGAGAGGCTGTAGCAGGTAGAGACACCCTTACACGGAGGGAGGGGACGCCAACGAGGGCAGCAGATGACCTGGGGGCTTTAGCTCCACACCCCATCTCAGATCCCTAGAGCATCCCTGTCCTTCACTAACAGCAAACCATGGTAAGAACAGAGTTTTCTAGAACATTCATGCTAACATGAGGGGCTGTGTCTGATAGATCTAGTTTCAAACACCAACACTACTGCTTACTAGCCATGTGCAAGTCAATTAACCCCGCTAGGGCCTCTTCCCGACCCAAGAATCGGGGAGCACCACAGTCACCACCCAGGGCCGCTGTGCACTACTGATGACGTGTATAAAACCCCACGTTCTGCACAGCTCTTGGCACACAGTGAATCTCCCGTCCATCACCGCTGCTAGCAGCCCAAACATGTTCCACACAGCACGGGCAATTATAACGAAATCATCAAACTGGATTCTATAAACTCTACTAACTCATGCAGCTACTTTTATTTTCTTATATCTATACACTTCCATCCAACTGCTTAAATATTTTGGTGACTTAAAGTTTATCCATCAGTAAACTATCAGTTAAACATCAGTTTATCCATTGGTTGCAAAATTCCCTCCGTAATCTTTCCAACACCTCTCTTTCCAGTCCCAAGAACCCAGGTGGCTTAGTGTCTGTTAGGTATGTACATATATCTTTGCTCTATCACACACACATGCATGTCTGAGCATAAACATTCCCCTTCCACAATCTACTTCCACCACTAGAACCCACCATAATGATCATCTATCTCATCTGATGGGTTAACCCAACCTTATTAGAGTTTTAGAAATGGAAGGAAGAGGAAGTAAAAGAGGGAGGGAGAAAGGAGGAGGAAAGGGAGAGGGAGACAGAGAGAGAGAGAGAGAGGGAGGGGCAGAGAATAAATGAGCACAGTGACCAAGACCCATGGCAACTGCCTAGTGCATTACAGACAATAAGGAAAGCAGGTGTGCCTTGGCTAATGTGGCCGATTGTTTCAATTGCACTTGTGATAATTCCTTCCATCCACATACACACGCCCCTTGCAGTGTGACTTTGCCGCTCCTCCCATTAGAGGGTAGAGTCCATGTTTTCAGCACATGAGTGCAGGCTGGCCTCACCGGATGCTGAGGAAGTGGGTCTGTGTCACTTCTCAGCCTGTGGCTCAAGAGGTCTTGCAGCTTCTGCTCGCTCCCTGTTAGAACGTCTTTGCCACGTGAGGAGACACAGCTGGCTTCCTTCAGGATGAGAGAGACACGAAGAGAGAAGCCCAGGCCTCCCACACTGCCCCAGCGGAGCCAGACATGTGAGTGAGCCCAGCCCCAACTGCTGACCACACAACAGCAACACATAAGTTGTGAGGCTGCTTATTACACAGCAGTAGATAACTGATACAGGTAGACCCCTCCATTCAGAAAACAATCCCAGGTGTCCCGTAAGCTTATCTGTCTCAGGCTGGCATGCAGTGACAGCCTCAAATGGCTGCCCTCTCTTCCCAGTTTAGTTTTCCCCTTCTTCCCACTCTTAGTCCTGAACCATCAGTCACAATCAATCATACACACCAACCAAGAGGCTACATTGTTATGAGCAGAGGCCTTTAAACAGTGGTAGGGATGGAGGGGGTAGGGATAGAGGGCTGGACTGCAGAAGCATCTAAGGCCAAGCCCCTCCTTTAAAAATGAGAGACCTGGGAGCCAGGCCTTTTAAACTGCATGTGCACGACTCTTCTCTCTCCACTTGGACTGCAAGCACCTGCAGGTAAGAGATGCAGGACACCCACCTTTGCATCCTGCAGGTGCCACGTGGGGCTCCCCTATGGTGGATGGCCAGTACATGTTCACTGAGAGTGACTCCTGAGCCAGCTGGCCACAGACTGATTGAGAGTGAGTGTTCTACTCTGCAGCCCTAAGGCACAGTCACCCCCCGACCCCACCTTTGTCTTGAGTCCCAAGGAGAGCCACGCGTGTTCCAACGAGGCTGTCTGGTCCAGGAGGGGTTGGACAAGCATCTGGAAACTTAAAGGCCACCATATTCTGTTTACAGTGAGAGAGGGGAGAGCTGCTACTGTGTCCACCAGGAATGCTGCAGTACAGCTGGCCGTTCAGACAGCATTTGCACAAACCCCTTCCCATGGAATTCTCGCTCCATCCTTCTAGGCAGATGCACTCCTGAGGGTTTGTGGCTGAGCCAGGTTGACCCACCTGCTTCCTTTTGGCCAGTTCTCTAGTCCTTAAGGAGAGGATGTCCTGCTGTCCCACCCGGAACAGCCTCCACCAAACACCGTGGGTCACTTTCAGGTTTCATCTGTCTGCTCCTAGTCTCACCTTTGCCACAGGAATGTCAAATGATCAAAGTGTCAATGGCTGTTCATATTGTATTTGATTGTTATTAGTATTATCATTATCACCATCATTATTGTAACGGCCTGAGGACTACAGTGAACAGGAAATAAACCGACAATCTCTTAGGGTTTTGCTCTTTCAGGCCCTCATTAAACAGGAGTCTCGTTTTACTAAATCCTGCTTTACCACAAAAATTTTCATTGGAAATTGCTGGACTAGTCTTTGCCTTCTAGCAACCAAAAGGGAAAATTGGAAAATAAGGAAAAAATTAAAAATTATAGGCTGCATGGAAGGCATTATAATTTTTGCATCGGGGGGAGGAGGGGGTCTCCTGCTCTCTTTTCTCCCCTTCCTTCTCAGAGCAGGAGGGCAGCAGTCCAAGGGAAATGTATAGACGAAGCATACATTAAAGGGCATAACTTCTAATTCCATACGGAAGGTCCGATGCTCTGTAATGTGGAAGTTAGAGGAAAGGGATGGATACCAGGAACAGAGGGGATGGAGTGAGAGGGTCTTAGGGAGGCCAGCCCCACCCCAAAGATGCTTCCAGCCTCCCCCTGAATGAAGAGGCTGCCATTAAGCAAGGTAGACAGGCAGGAGGTATTCTCGATGGCACAGCTCCTGAGCTGGGCGGCGGGACTAGCCGGAAAGTATAACCACAGGCAATAAATGGCAGCAATGAGCACAGGACCAACAAGGACTTTGCTCACATCCATGCATTTCGTCTGTGTGGGCCTCAGTTTCCGCACGGGAGAGGTAGACTACAAGATACCTAAGGCCAGTTGCTGGTTCCGACCACAGATGATTTTGTTAAGGGCCAGTCCTGAGAGCGGGTCCCTTCCCGAGCTGACTCTGGCAGGGAGGATATTGCCATCGGCCTGGCACAGATGGGTCCTTGGCGTGGGAGAGGGTGATGGGACTGCTGGCCTTGCTGTTACTCGGTGGGGTCTCTCCTTCCCTCACACCTGCCTCCTCCTCCCGGGCGGGGCCTCTCCTCGCTTCCCCACCCCACCTGCCAGCCTGAGGGCGGCTGCCAAGGGCGGAGGCTGTGGCACCAAGTGGAGCAGCGCCCTGGTGCAGTGTGGTTGCCACCCCCCTGCCCGTCCCCAACCCTGGCCTGGATGCCAGGTGTCAGGAGGCTCCGAGCAGAAGTAAAGACCACAAGCCTTTGCGCTCAGAGGGCATCTCACGCACGCGCACTGGTATACTCACGCACGCGCCACCCCCACTGTGCGGCTGCATGCACCCTCACAGTCTCCCTCTCACACACACTCCAGACTTCAGCATCAGTGGTACTCGTCTCCCCTTCCCTCCCGCCTCCCCCCCACGAAAGGAATCCATCTGGCTCTCCAGCGCAGCCACAGAGCCTCGAACCATCTGGAAACACAAGCACGGAGGTCGTGCCAGGCTGGAGGTGCAGACGGCCAGGGTCACGGGAAACGGGGAGGAAAAACAAGGCGGTCGCCAGATTCCAATCAAAACAGCCTGTTCATCCCCCTCCAATCTAATCAAAATGCCAAGGACTGCCCCCACGGGCCCCGCGTGCCCACTCGGGCAACTTCCCCAAGACCCCGACGTTCTGCCCGGGCCTGTTCTGCCATCCTCCTGCCTGCGCCACCACCAGCGCCCACCCTGCGCCTCCAAAACACAGCCACGCAGGGCCTAATTTTAGCTCCAATCTTCCCTAGCCATGGTTGTGTGGTTTCTAATTATTTTATTCCCAAGATTTACCTTGATGGATAGTTATACATTTTCCAATTTACTGTACAATATCTTGTAAAGTGTCCTTTAAAAAAATGTGTGGATTATTCCATGTTGTTAATTTTCCCAGCTCGAAGGAGAAATCTGCAGATAATCACCCTCCCTAGAAGCTCCGATTCAATCCCCATTTCCTTTAATACTAATAAAATGGACAGTTCATTTATAAGAAGTTCCCTAAAAGAGGGTATTGAAAAACATTATATTTCTTTTAAAGTTGTTAAAGGGCATAAATCCATTACTCAGATAGAGATCGCTTAATAATTTAATGCCTTTGGCTTGGCATTGTTCCCAGAATATTTTCACTTTATCTGTCTTTATTTTCAGGTTGGAACAAATTGAGGGATAATCAGCTCCGTTGGCGGGAACTGTCGAAGCCTCAGCAGGAAGGCACAGGGACGGCTGGTAGAACCAGGCAGCCTTGAGACTGTCCCCTGCCGGGGCCTTGGGTCCAGGAGCAGAGCAGGTGTGTGGGGCACTGAGGGGCGGCCCAGGGGGAACCAGGCTTTCTTTCTGGCCTCCACGTGGTGGGGAGTGTGGCCCACAGTTGCCTGGCAGGCTCTGCCTCCCAGGAAGCAGGGAGGCCCCGGGGAGCAGCCACCCCCCCTCTCCCGACAGGCAGGCAAGCAGGTGGGAGGGCCTCAGGCAGAGCCTTGCTGCAAAGGGGATTAGTTTGCATTTTCTAAATAAAATCATTTACATGATGTATTAACCCAACCCTATAATTAAAATCATTAACGTTTCTTTGTGCAGATTAGCAATAAAGAGAAACTAAGTGCAGGAATCAACATTCCTTCTCACAGGCTCATCAAACAGCCTCCCCTGAAGAAGGCTGGGAAGTCTCATCGCCTGCCCTCTCCACCCCCTCTCCCTGCAGTGGTGGTGGTGGTGCTGCCTCCCCCAAACCCCCCAAGGACCCCCCCAGGGGTCCTGGCTGGCTGGTTTCAGCAGTGCTTGAAGAATGTCTGCCCCAACCCAACCAGAGCACCCCAACAGGGACTGAGGGGTCTGGGAGGTGACCCTGGATTGAACACGGCTCTTAGACTGAAGCCCTGTGTATTCCTTTCCCTCTCTGTTCCTCAGTTTCCCCTAAAAATAAAGCCACTGACCTAAAATGATGCTTACAGACTCTTTCTATTCCCCATAGCCACCCACGGCTGGTGTGCTGCCCCCATACCTAGGACAGGATTTTGGCCATAACTCACACTCAGCACATGTCTGTGAAGGGAACTGAATTGGACATGCCAGACCCAGGAGGGGATGGGTGTGTACATGGGGGGGGGGGGGGGGTCGCGGATATTGTCACATAGAAGCAGGGACGGGAGCTGCCAGTGGCGGGGCTGTGCAGCTACGGATGGGCCCAGGAGCAGCGGCAGGGTGCCCTCAGCCTGGCCACAATGGAGTGTGCCTGCCTATAGGCCCCTCCTGTGCAGCGAGCTCATCGGGACTCAGGCCACACAGGGAGAGTGAACAAAGGCTGCTTAGGGGGAGGGTAAACACAAGACCGGACATGCAGCAGGACCAATGGGATGAGGCTCATGGTCCACCCTTCTCCTCCAGGGACAGCAGCCAGTGCCTCTGCAGAGGTGGTCATGGCTGTCAATGCCAGCCTCTGCACCAATGAGCACATCTGAGACCCCTGGGACTGCCGACTGAGGGAAGGAGGGAGGGCTTAGTGATGTTCCCGGTGGAGAAGTCGGGACCCAGGGAAACCCTACTATTGCTGTGGTTTCCCTAATCCCTGACTGCCTATGATGGCGTGGGCACAGAGCCTCACGTGTATGCCGTCCCAAGGTTTCTGGAGCAGTTCTAGATCTCGAGTACTGACAAGGAACTGGCTCTCTTTTCTTTCTAGGGTAGTGTCCCAGAAGGAACATACTTTAGAATGAGATAGCCAGTGGTCAAATCCTAGCTCCATAGTTCGTTAGCTGTGTGGCTTTGAACAAGTTACTTGACCTCTCTGAGCCTTGGTTTTCCCACATGAAGAGTGAGCATAAGCTGATTCAGATGGTTACGACTGTTAAATGAGCAAACAAGTATGAAAACGTCTACCGTGGTACACGGAACGCAGTGTGGCAGGTTGAAGATGCCCATAAATTTTTGGATACTTCTTGCATTGAGAGTTGGAGTTAATCCCCTTCCCTTGAATATCGGCTGGCCTTGTGATCTGCATGACCAACAGAATGTGGCAGAAATGACATTCTGTGAGTTCGGAGGCCACTGCATAAGAATTCTTGCAGCTTTCAGGTAGGTCTCCTGGGACACTCTTCCTGAGAACCCTGGGATGCCATCTAAGAAGTACAGCTTCCCTGAGACCAGCACGCTGCAGAGACCACGTGCAGATGCTCAGCCTAAGCTTCTGGCTGACTCTGCTGTACTGGACTGAAGAGTGTCCTTCCAAAATTCATGTCCATCTGCAACCACTGAAAGTGACTTTGTTAGGAAATAGGGTTTTTGCAAATGTAATCAAGTTAAGATTAGGTCATACTGGATTAGGGTTGGCCCTAAATCCAATATGACTGGCAGCCTTATAAGAAGAGGAAAATCTGTACACAGAGACAGAGACACACAAGAGAGAAGGCCGGGGAAGATGACGGCAGGGACTAGAGTAGTACATCCACCAGCCAAGGAAAGGCCAAGAATGATGGCAATCGCTGCAGCTATAAGAGGCAAGAAAGGAACCTTCCCTGGGGCCTTGAGCGGGAGCATAGCCCTGTTGACCCCATACTTGATTTCAGACTTCTAGACTCCACAACTATGAGAGAATATATTCTATTGCTTTAAGCCACCCAGTTTATGATACTTTGTTAAGGCAGCCCTAGGAAACTGTCACATCTGCCAAGATGCCACACTGGTGAGTGACACCATCTTAGACCCTCTAGACCAACCCAACTGACAGCTAAGTACCAACGATCTGACCTCGGTCCAGGTCACCTGGAACAGAAGGATGCTCAGCTGAGATGTGTCCAAATTCCTGACCCACAAAATCATGAGATATAATAGATTGCTGTTTTGAGCCATGAAGTTTTGGGGTAATTAGTTTTGCAGCAACTGAAAGATACACATAGTGAGTCAGCAACTACACTGGAACTAAAATTCAGGTCTCTTGCCTCCTGCATAATTCAGTAAGACTTTCCATTCTCCCATGATTTCTCCTGCTCATAAACCAGTTATTCTTAGTGATTTCATATGCATAGATCTCATAAGTTTTATCCCAGTACCCCAGTTAAGATGTGCAATTAATTGAGAGCAGTTAAATAGCATGTCATCTCTGTACTACCATTGACCTACCCGTGGATGAGCATTGGAGGTGGGGGTTATAAGCAATGGTAAAATAACAAAAACAAAAACAAACAAACAAACAAAAATAACAAAAACAAGCAAGGCACGAAGGAGAAAGGGTATGGATAGGTTTTGAGGTGGGTGGAAATAGGGGTGTTGAATGGGAGAGGCGTGCTATGGTCTGAATGTGTCCCCCAAAACTCATGTGTTGGAAACTTAATCCTCAATGCAATAGTGCTGGGAGGTCTAATAAGAGGTGATTGGGCCATAAGGACTCTACTCTCATTAATGCACTAATGCCATTATTGTGGAAGTGGTTTCACTATAAAAGAGCAAGCTTCTTTCTTTCTCTCTCTCTCCCTCCCCCCCTCCACTTCCCTCCCTCCCTCCCACCGTAGGATGACACAGCAAGAAGGCCCTCACCAGATGCTGGCACCTTGATATTGGACTTGCCAGGCTCTAGAACTATAAAAAATAAATTCCTTTTCTTTATAAGTTGCCCAGGGTCTGGTATTCTGTTATAGAAGAATAAAATGGTGACGATGAGGTGAATTCAGATTATAAGAGGCTTTGAATATCAGGCAGGGAAACTCAAATACAAACACCATAAAATGGCTATTCTAACAGGAAGACCGGTGAGGTGGAGTCAGTCAGTGCTAGCTCCCTGCCCACATTACCATCCCTGTTCTAGCAGTTCTACCACCTGCCTTCCGCTGCACTTCCTAGCAGTTGAGGACACTTATGGAACACTTATCTGTACTCAGAAACCCAGCTACAACATAAGCCAAATTGATAGCGGTTTTGAAAATCAAGGTCCGGGTCTTGAAAGCCATGATGCTGTCTCTAAATGGGTCTTCACGGTTTCTGGGAGAGGACGCACGTTCATCTGTGCTACCTTCATAAAGGAAAATGTTTGGCTAAATTATCTCAGCTACTGCAGCTACTGAGAGGTTGCCTGTGGCAAAGGTCGAAGGCCAGGAAGTTCTGGAAATGCTTTTATGAGATCCCTACTTTGCCACCTCAGAACCTCCCGCACTAGGGTTGGCGTCTCCATAGGGGATGGTGGGGTCAGTGCGATTCCCACCAATCATTACCCCCACCCTACTCCTTCCAACAGCAAACTTCACCAGGGAGAGCCCTTCCCTACATGTGAATCTCCAGGGCCACTGATCACAATTCTTGTGACTCAGTGGAGCTGCTTCCAGAGGGCTAAGCACCTCAAACGCCCTTCCTTTCTCTCCCAGTCTCGATCTACCTGAACCTCAAGACCCAGAAAAAAAATCCCTTCCTCCTGAACTCTTCCTCCTGCAACTCTACTAGACCACGAGCAGACTGGCTTCTCTCTGAGCTTACAGTGGCTTACAGTACAACATTTCATATGGATAGCAAGTTGTTTTACAATATCTCTATTGTCTTAAACTATTTCTTTTGAGGCCGCTTAAATTAAATATTTAATTTATGACTTTAATAAAAAGTAAAATATACTAATAGCAGAAAAAATTGAATGACATAAAAATGGTGAAAAATAGATTTCTTTTCAATCCTAACCCATTGTCTTCTACCCTAGAGGAAATTGCTATTATCAGTTTCCTGTTTAGTCTTCCAAAAGTACTTTATGCCTATATAAGCACACATATGTATTGTGTATGTGCATATTTACCTGCCACGATAGAAATTGCAGCACACCATGCACTCATTCCACATTAAGCAAGAACATAATGCTTCTTGCTTCAAAAATTTATTTTTGTAATGTGAATATAGCTACACTAGCTTTTTGTTGGCCAGTGTTTGACAGAAGTATATCTTTTTCCATTCTTTTACTTCCAGTGTTTCTGCAGAAACTGCAAAGAGGCGGATTGAATTCAGGTCTTTATTAATCCAATCTGACCAATCTCTGTCTTCTAATTAGTAGGTTAAATCTATTTACATTTATTGTAATTATTAATATGTGGATTTATTCTGCCACCTTGTATGGTGTTTTTTGATTCACCATTTTTCAACTATTTTTTCTCATTTACAACCTTCTTTAGAAAGGAATGAAGTTTTTTTAAATTATTGTTTTCTCTTCTCTTTTACAAGTCATACACTTCATTTCCATTATTTTACTGCTACTTTTAAGGTTTTAACATAATAATTTACTTGAAGTCCATAACTAATAACACTTAATCAAATCAAGAATTGTAGACCACCTTGTGCTCATTTTCTTCTATGATGTATATTTAAATTTTAGATCTAACTAATTCTTTATCCCATAATTAATCAGTATTATTTTTATAAAATTAATTTTTTTACATTTACCCATTTATTTATAAGGTTTTTGTTCTCCATTGCATATTAGATCTTCCTTCTGCAATGAGTTTCCTTCTTTCTTAAATATATATCTTAATATGTATTAACACGTATGACTGTGTTCTGGTGCAAGCTCTCTGAGTTTTTGTTTGTCTGAATATGTCTTTCTTGATAATTTATATTCATATGAAATTTTCTTTTGATACTTTTCCCCCATTCAGTATTTTGAAGATGCCTTCTGGCTGCCATGGTTGCTACTGAGAAGTTGGATATTTTTCCAATTTTCTTGTCCTTTGTAGGACATCGGTCTATCCTCCCTGGCTGATTTAAAATCTTTCTATCATTAATATTGTACAATTTCACTTTCAAGTTTCTAAATGTGTGTTTCTTTTTATTTATCTTCTTGGAATTCATTTTACTTCCCTAATCTGAGAATTTATATTTTTCATCAATTCTGGAAAATCCTCAGCCATTTTCTCTTTAAAGATTGCCTCTGTTTTATTCTCACTATTCTCCTGTATTTAAGAAACAGACATGTGTAAGACCTTCCTACTCAGCCTTCCCTGTCTTTTAGTTTCTCTGTTATTTTCTTAATTTTTGTTTATCTTATTGCATTCTGACAATGTCTTCATAT